TTTTTTTTTTTTTTTTTTTTTTTTTTTTTTTTTTTTTTTTTTTCCCTGTCTTGAAGACATATTCTTGCCAACTCTTATCAACTTGTTCAACCACATTATCCCCTAGAATAAGTCTGTCCTAACCTAACCTTCAAGTGATACCCTTCCGTAATGTATATCAAGATAGAAAATAAGGTGAGACGTGAGAAGTACTTTCTGTATTCCTTTAGAAGAGGTGAAAGCAATTACATAAGTTTTTGAGTGGCCTTTAAAATCCAGTAGCAAAGTTATGAAGAAAAATTGAACCTTCTCAATGAGGTCAAGGACATCTTGATTATCAACAAATTCTATGTAGCTCCAATCAATTTCCTCTCTTACATATTCTTCTTGCTCCATCTTGAACACGTGCTGGATAACATCATAATATCAATATTTGACATGGAAACATTAAAAAAAAAAAAAAATTAAAAATGAAGAAGGTAACGTTCAAAGACAAAGTTTTCATATGAGACTGACCTCATACCTGGTTGAAATGTTGCTGCAGCTTTTCATTTGTGTAATTGATGCAGAATTGCTCAAAACTAAAGAGAGTGAAGGGTAGTCACAGTCAACATACACTTACCAATTAATAACTAGACCCAAATCAACAACTGCTCTAATTTTAAGAGATTTTCATGATTGCTCAATTAGTAAAAAGCTAGCTAACAGATTAAATGAACCAATTTCCAGAAAATCGATTTGCATGCGTTAGTGAGCATGGGTGTCCCATTCGACTTGTTACAAACATCGCCTGAGTCATTATATGTGTATGTGTGTGTGCGTATTCTTTAAGAAATGCAAACTTCCATAAAAAGCCAGTGAGTTAAGAGAGGGATCACCTATTATTTTTAAAGCTCTCAAAACCGTAAATATCCAGTACACCGATCAGATATTCAGAGCCAGGATCTTGCCCGATGGAAACATTGATTTTACCTACCAACCTGGATAAGTTGAAAACAACGGACTAATAATTCCTGTTGATGGAGTAATTAAAAAACATCAAACTACAACAGAATTCACACGTGATAATGCTAGGATAACCAATATTACCAGTCAAACAAACGAGAATATATTGTCTTGGCTAATCCATCCCTGCTGACTGTTGCACCAAGCGGATCAAGACTTTTCTTGATAACGTCCTCTGGTGTAATCATCATGCGCTTGCAAAGAGCATCTTCTAATGCTTGGGGATCGCACCTGAAATATTTATAAGATCAGAAAGTACAAATAATATAGGTTATTAAGAGAAATACAAAGTGATAAAAGCAAAGCTCCAGTCACACATGAGAAGCTCTGCTGTCATGTCAAGGTGAAATTTTGATTCTTCATCTTTTACAAATGATGAATCGGACTCTTCTCCTTTTGCAAAGTCAATATTACCAAGATGAAGAATTGCAGCCACAACTCTGAAAATTGCATCCTGAAAGAAAGTGTGAGGAAAGGTGAAGACAAGGCATTTAGCAGTAGGTTGACACATAGCCAAAGAATAGTTGCATCTCGAGTAAGATATCACCTGCTCCTGTTCACATATTCCAACAATATCCATGGCTCTCTTTGTAGCAAGATAATCGTGAGCATCATTCACACCAGTCAGTTCATAACAATTTGATTGGTTTAGATAGTGAAATGATTTTGGATTTCCCAGCTTATATTTCTCTCTCTCCTGAAAAAGAAAAAAAAAAGTCCGCTGATGAACACTAGGTGACAAGAAGAAAATGTTTCAAAGAAAAGGAAAAAAAGGATACCCACCTGAGGTGGAGCTGCACAGAGAAGATAAAAGCAATGATAGTTGCGCTCAGGGTCTGATATTTGGCAAACCCGTGATCTCTCAAGAAGATATGTTCGGATGGCAGCTCCTGATATTCTTCCATTCTTGTCAAATTGGATCTCAACAAATTTCCCAAAACGGCTGTGCTAATGTATACAATGAATGATCAATAGGCAATTCATGCAACAAGGTATTGAAATTTCACAGTTCAACAGGAGAAGAAAAGGTTCATACGAATAAATGAAGGGTCTAATATCAGCAGAAAACATGCTTGAGGAAATGGTAGCACGGCATCCAGAAAAAGTTAGTTTATGTAATTGCCAATTCAATTATGTTTAGAAAACCCTATGTTGCAAAAGCTAAAGTATAAGGATAAGTTTTTACCTTGAATTGTTGTTTCTTACTGTTTTTGCATTGCCGAAAGCTTCAAGAACTGGATTTGACTGCATCATGTTCAAAAACACATGTTTAAACAGGATTCAGGAGGTTGAGAGAAATACAACCAAACTTGAGATGATGTCACCAGATAACAAGGGGAACCATGAGGAAAAGCAAGGTGATTTAAGTTTCAACATTTCATGACATTTTTAAGACTGAAGTTAAACATGACTTCAAACAGATTATACATCAACCAAAAGAGGCAAAAGCAGATGCTGATTGAATATAATGATTCATAAGGAAATACAAACTGATAACAAATAAAGTTCAAATCGCAAGCCTCTTGAGAAGAAATGAAAATATTGTAAGAAAACCCTCTTCATGAAAAAGGAAAAGAGGCATCTGAAACCATTGTCTTCCATGAACTTATTCAATCGGTTACCATTAGATTCTTGTTGCCCCAATAGAAAATTTCAGGGATGCGCTCTGCATTTTCTTTAATGGAGATCTACCTACATCCAAAGTTGGTTCGTACTCTACACTCGTCAATTATATAATGATAAAATAATGTGAGAATTTGAATTGTTCTCTAATGTTCTCAAACACAAAGTCTAGTTCTTATCAGGACAAAAAACTGTTCCCCAATGTTGTACATATAGTAATTCTGAAAATTTCTTTCACAGGTAAACAATATTTGATGCTCATATTTACATAAGGTCTATAATACACGTGGATCGCTAAAAAAGATAATTGAGTAAATAAAATTAGGCATATACCAATATCAAAACAAATTTTTGACGTGCATTCCTCATTCTTTATATCTCAAAGATTCCATATCAACTACATGGCCATAAGTGTCCTCTAAATGTCTTCACAAATTTTAGTAGGAGCCAATATCAATCATGCATTCTACATATATACCAAAGAGATCCACCTCTAATCTTGTTAATTCTCCATGAAGAATAGAAATAGAAATCTGCAGGAACCAAACAATGCATAATTGGTAACCCAATGCACCCTAGAGATACCACAAGTGTTGGAATAATATTATACAAGATACATGTTGATTATGTTGTGTACAGTGGTTAGATATACTACAGTCAGTAGCCAACATACTTCTAAAACTTGTTGTTCAACAGTCCGTCCTTCAGATGCAGCATGGCCGCCCAAAAATGCAAGGTAACACATAAGCATTTTGGTGGTTTCAGTTTTGCCAGCCCCACTTTCACCACTTACTAGAATAGAGTTGCTTTTCCCATAATTTATCATAGCCCTGCCACAGGTTTATGATAGTCTATGTCATTGCATGAGAAAGAAAAAAATTAGGATGAAAACAAAAAGAAGCTCGCCTATATGCAACATCAGCAATTGCAAAAACATGAGGCTTCAGCTCCCCAATTGGTGCTCCCTTGTACTGCTCCATCACACAGGCATCATACAGTTTTTCAATACTTTGGAATGGATTGATGGCAATAAGAATATTTCCAGTATAAGTCTGTATCACGTCAGAGAGTTATATTTGGATCTCTACTGGAGTGTAATGAATCTTGTTTCTTTCACCAGGTGAATCACAAAAAACATAATAATCTTACATAGATTTCATTTATTCCATATCTGGTAGCCAAATTATGCAGCAACCCTGGCTCATTCAAATATGACATTCTAGTCATATCATCAATTCCAGTAGCAGGAGCTTCTGCATCCCTTAGATATAGATTTGACAGTTTTACAACCACCTGCCAACATAAACTTGAGTAATATTTTGCCAAACATATGCAAAACAAATTGAGTTGTTTTTAAGAAATTAAGCAAGATGGGGCACAAAGACTTCAAGAACCCTAAAATGTGAGGCAAGGAATAGGTCTGGGTGATGTGAGTCACACCATGTACATTGATTCCATAATTAAACCAATGGTTAACAAATGTATAACTTATATCAGGAGATTATGATTATATTCAAACCTATAAAGGTAGATGTTGTCTTAACAGAAGGGAAAGTGAAGAATCAAAATGACACATGGCTGTCAACTTGGACCATAATATCTGTGGAAAAGGAGTTTTTTTTTTTTCTTTTCTTTTCTTTTTTGAAAAGAAGAAGATAATATTGATAATATAAATAAAAGAGATACAAAGCAATACAGGTTTCAGTCTCCAAATAGTAGACCAAAGAAAAATAGAGAAAGGAAAATAAAGTAAAAGCTAACAAAAATACAAAAAGCCAATAAAAGGTACAATAAACCCAAAAGAACTATAAGAACGCTTCCTAGTTGTTGCAAATAGCTTGGAAAGAGTAACCCGAAAAAGACTTCGATAAAGAACACCAATGAGATAGTGAAAAATGAGTTACAAGGAGAAAAAGAAAACAGAAAAGTTCTGTTCACGTTACTTTGAAGTGACAAAAGTACTTCAATAGGTGAGATACTGATGGGCAATTCTCAAGGCTATTATAATTAGTCCAGCCCAACAGCTCAGGTATCTCCTGAAATAACAACTTTGGCATTTGGTAATCAAACGATATATATAGTTTAAGTTGAAGTGGATGGAAATCAAATCCAATGTCTAAAGAGACACTCTTTTTTTGTTTTCAAGGAACTCAACAATTCTCCTTTCAAATGCAATGTTTAATTTCCAAGGAACTCAATAATTCTCTTCTTTCTTTTCTTTTAAAATATTACATCAAGGATTCAGACATTCGTCCTTTTAGAGGAAGTACAAATGTCTTTGTGCCCATTTCTTTGAGAACTGCACTTAAGGTTCTCTTTCAGAAGCAATATTCTCTTTTTAGTTTACTGCATTACCATCTGCTTTTGAGGGGAAAATTTCAGTGGGGGAAATTCCCTTCTTGCACTCTTTCTCTTGATCATATACACAATCACCAGTTCTACCGATTGCTCTTTTAGCAACCCCTTCAAGCTTCGCGACCTTTTCCAACTTCAACTTAATAAGAAACCTCAATGATATGATAGAGGGGTCAATGCACGTGACTCGTATAACCCAGATAATTTAGGGAGTGTCCATCAAACTAAAGAGTTTGACAGCTCGATATTTTACTAGCAAATCTACTTTTGAAATGAACATGGATTCCTCATTTTCCACTGTTACAGTGTGAGCCTCTGTTCTTTAAGATATTTGAAATTTTGAAATCTACGATTCCTAATAGTTTCCCGTACTTGCTGTGGTATATCTTGGAAAGATCAATTCCAAGAACCAGATCAAAAGAAATTTTTTCTTAAAGATCACCAACCTCAATGATGTGCTGTTTAAGAAAAAGGTGACCGAGGTTTTAAACATTTGATGCTTATTTCTCTTTTCCTCTTTTATGAAAAGAGACTAATGCTCAAAATGATACAAACCCCTTAAAGAGGTGAAAAAAATAAGAACATGACAACAATTACAAATGAACAATAAAAGCATGTCAAATTATTAGAAATACCATGGAATGAGAAATCACTAAAAGACTTGGAAAGAGAACGCCACGAAGAGGCTTTTAAACCCGTTAAATCTAATCAGTCTGTCCAAGGAAGAAAATCTATCTTTTCCTCTTTTATGAAAATTCAGCTTATCATACAAAGAGAAATAATAGAAAAGGGGCATATGTAGACTCGATACTCAACGGTCAATCGTTCCCATACAACAGAAGAATCATGAAGCATCCGAAATTTCATGGAGAGAAAGGCGAAACAACCCAGTTCAATATATATATATATATATATATATATATATATATATATATATATATTATATATTGATGAAACAACCAGCCAAAACAACACTTATGTCACGTTTCAGTCATGTTGGAAGAGATAATGGTGCCTTTCATGTCCTTCAACACCTTGAAACATTGTAAGATTGTAATAGAATTCACTTCTTGGCTTCTTTGTGGAGTTCAGTCACCAAAAAATCTGAATGTATTTCCTCGTTTTCTAAATTTTTCACAACTGAGGTTCAAGTATAGTTTTTGTACCCTTATCTCGTTTCTCTTTGTGCAGACCTCTTGGTAACTCAATTTCGTATACAACTCTTGTTTGATTTATTATTAAAAAAAAATAGATTACCTGTCTTCCATCACTAGTTTGAATCTCAGCATCTTCCCCGGTGATGTTCAATACGACCCCATCAATCCAAACGGACTCTAAATCTCCCACCCATATATGGGAACCAACAACGATATTGGCCGACTGGTCCTGCAGGAAATTATCGATAATCTCAATATGCATTCACATTCACGACCATATATTCGATAAATAAAGCTTTTAATATCCAACAAATTGCTTTTCAGTCTAACATTACAGTTCAAAATATATCTACATGTTTTTGCAGTGCTCTACAGCTCAAGAAGGATGTGAACATCTCGAGGTTTATTCGTCATAAAATTGAATCGATCTCTTAATATGTGAATTATCAACAGAGTTACCAATAACCATAACATAATCTCATAAAATTATCATTCTCAATCAATACCAGGGGTACAGCATCGTACAAAAACGGAATACGAAATAAGAAGTTCTGCTCTCATATTACTTCTTTCTTTCTTATCAATAGACCGTCAAATCAATGATTTCCTATCAGATAAGGGTTTAACAATTCTAATAAACTATGCGAACGCAGACATAACACAGCATTGGAAAATCTCCCGTCAATTTCATGAAACTGCCAAAATATTCGCAACGTGGAATTGCTCAAAACTTGAAAATCGAATCGTTAATCTACATACCATTCTAACTTCCGATAGAAATGATCAAAACGTGGCTATGTGAACGTAACCATTTGATTGTGTCTACAATGAGAGGATCAAAAGTTGTCCCGCAGAAGTTTGAAGTGCTCGGAAAAAAAAAACAAAAAACTGAAGCGTAAAGCCAGAACTTTGATTTTCTCTTGTGTCCGTGTTTGAGCTTTGTCCTCGTGTTGCGTGGTTTGTGGCGGTGGTAATCTTGAATACTCCAGTTCCGCCATTTTTGGGCGGAGTTGTTGTGGCTATTTTTGCTCTAACGTCTCAGTTCAGAGACCGAGGAGAGAGAGTGATCAAACCCGCGAACGCATGAAAAAAAAAATTATTATATTTAATAAGCTGACCCTTCCCTCGAAAAATATATATATACATTACACAGACAAAAACAAACTTCTAAGTTATATATACATAGATATATTGTATGTGTATGTATGTATATATAGATATACTATATATGTGTATGTGTATATACACATACATTGCATATATATATATATATAAGTCGGGCCGAATCTTTCATAGTCTCTTCCTGTTATCTCCTACTCGTTTTCGGGTTGAGTTCAATGTCTAAGCACCCTTCTCCTCTCCTCCTTATCCGTGTGTATATGTGTGTGTATGTATGTGTGTATATATATATATGTATGTATATATATATGTGTACAATTTATAAGTATGCATGTATATATATATGTGTGTATGTATATATATATATATACAATTTATAAGTATGCAAGTATATATATATGTGTATGGGTGTGTATGTATATATATATACATATATATAAAAGTCAAGTTGGCTGGTGTGGCTTGATTTTGATAATATTAGAAAGTCTTCGATAATCTTTCTAGGCAGATAGGGTGACTCCTCTTTGTGTGTATATATATATATATGTGTGTATATATGTACGTACAATTTATAAATATGCATGTATGTATGTATATATATGTATATTGTGTATGTGTGTATGCATGTATATATATGGATGTATGCATGCATGCTATATGTATGTATATACATACATACACATGTATTATGTATATGTGTATATATATACATTTATATATATATACTTAGAAAATATAAATTTGATGATGAAATTACGTAATAATTTCAAATATCATACTAATTTAAATTTTAAATTCGATTGTTAAATAAAAATTAGTTTTGAAAAGTAAGAAATAAATTTAAATTAATTTCTATATAAATATTCTAAATTTGTATCATGTCTAGACCATAGTTCGACTCTACTTTACAATTTTTTTAATATTTTTTATAATAAATAAATTATAAAAATATTTTAAACTTTGTCCTTTGTTTTAATTTCATATTAAAAAAAATTGCAACATTAATTTTCCATATAAAACTTTGAAAATGTTAAATGAAAAGTTTTAATAATTTTATTTATTTATTTTTCCGTTTTTTTTAAAATTATTTTTATTAGAGAAGCACATTTTCCCTTCATATTGTAGGTTACTCCAGGCAAAAACCCATAGAGCTGCCAAAAGCCCCATTCCAAGCTTATGCTCTCGTTTACTCGCAGATTCCGGACTCTGTCCTCGTCTCTATGCTCCAAATCTCATCAATTTCGATCGGTCCGAACGGACGCCGGACCGCCCAAGCGGCGGTCAAAGCCCACCGCATTCGCCGGAAAGAAGCTCGACGAGAAGTCCGAATGGTGGGCCGTTGACGGCGAAATGCACGAAATCGGCGACAATGTGCCCCTTCGCGAGCGCTTCGTTATACCCCGAGAGAATATCCCCAATCGGCGTCGAAAGCAGCTCAGGGATCAGTTCATGCGTCGGACTCGACTCGTTCTCAAGGAATCTGTTAGTCCGTTTTTATTTTAATCTTCTATGCGTTTGATTGGAGGGTTTTTATTTACAATCCCCTTTGTAATTGTTGTTCAGAGTTATGAGTTTAATAGCTTTTTCTTGAAAAGAGTATGAAGAAGAAACTCGATTCTTATTACTATTTGAATTTGGTGTTTGAAGGAGCACGAGCCTTGGTGCAAAAAGTACATGGAGCTTTATCAGGAGCTAAGGGAGAACTGGGAGCGGCTGTACTGGGATGAGGGTTACTCTAAAAAACATGCCCAGGAACATACAAATTATGAGTCTGCTGAAGACGAGGATTTTTCCCCTTATAGGTTGGAGTTTTTTTCACTTTTAATTTCATATATATATATATATATATATATTTGTTTGGTATAGCTATTGAAGTGTTCTTCAATTCAAGTTTTGTTCTATCCATTTACTGTTTTTGCCTGCGTTTCAGGAATAGGCAATTCACTGCTGATCGAAGTAAGGTAAATATAAAATTTTCTTTGTTAGTTTTTGATTCAACACAATTTAATTCCATTGCTTGTTATTTAACTCCTTTTGAAGATGAATTAAGTCTCTGTAAAAGTTGATTTCCTATTTTAAAGTTATGATTCTTTGACATGCTGATATCAAAGTGAAGTGAATAGAATAATTGTGTCTATTCTCTCGTTATCTCAATGGGTTCAAAGGGTGTCTCTTAAATAGAAGAAAACTCCAATACAAACAAAGGAAAAACCATTATACACATAATTACAGTTTAAATTACCGCTAATAAATGTAATTAAGGAAAATATCAAAGCCTAAACCCTCCCTTCCCTCAAGCTGGTTTGAAGATATCTTCCATTGTCAGCTTGTCAATGAACTTGTCAAATCGTAACTTTCGAAGCCCCTTAGTTATGATACTCAAGAATCAAGATTCTCCTCTATAAAGTGTTTATCAACTTCAATATATTGTCCTATCACAGAGAACTAGATTGTGAGCGGTGGAGATGGTCGTCCTGTTGTCACAATCAATACGCCATCATCTAGACAAACTTTGAAACTTTGACACTTTTTGTAATACAAACACATAGATTGGACTTTGTTCCTTATTTCAGCCAGCCTTCGTTGAAATCTATCGTGAGATCGTTCCAAGTGGTTGTGGCTAGATTAGAGTTGCAGTAAACTGACCGCTGGCATAACCATATACTTGTTTTATTAACTTAAAAGTTGTTTCGTGATCTTGTAGTACTGGGAAATGGCTGTGAGGTATCCCCCTTTCTTATTAGCTTGATTTAACAAAGAGTGTCATCAGCTTGGTTTAACAATCAAATTTCAATTCAGCAATTTTGTCATTCCCAAATCCTTGATTCAAAACACTATGAATGACTTTTGTGTTTTCACATTTAATTACTTTAAATTTTACTTGAAGGAAAGGGGTTTTACTTGCAGGAACAGGATTTTAGGAGGAACATGCAAGGTGGTAACTGGGAGAAGGTCAGCCAAATTAGAGATAAGTTTGAATACGACAGGGAGAAAAGAATGAGAGAGAGAGGTTAGTTTAATGAATAAATTGCTTGATTCATTTTATTTTTATTATTATTATTATTATTTTTCCTATCTGCAATCCGTTGATCTTCTGGCTCTTGATTTAACCATCCACACCAAGATATTCATTAGTTCTATAGAGTGGATGTTTGATGGAATTGTTCCTCAGATGCAATCTTGCTTTTTGTAACGGTACAAGCCCACCGCTAGTAGATATTGTCCTCTTTGGGCTTTCTCTTTCGGGCTTCCCTTCAAGGTTTTTAAACGCGTCTGTTAGGGAGAGATTTCCACACCCTTATAAAAAATGCTTCGTTCTCCTCCCTACTGAGGTGGGATCTTACAATCCACCCCCCTTCCGGGCCCAGCATTCTTGCTGGCACACCGCCTCGTGTCCACCCCCCTTCAAAGCTCAGCCTCCTTGCTAGCATACCGCCCGGTATCTGGTTCTGATACCATTTGTAATGGCCCAAGCCCATCGCTAGCAGATATTGTCCTCTTTGAGTTTTGCCTTTCGGGCTTCCCCTCAAGGTTTTTAAAACGCGTCTGCTAAGGAAAGGTTTCTACATTCTTATAAAGAATGGTTCGTTCTCCTCCCCAACCGATGTGGAATCTTATACTTTCTTATAGCTTGAACAAACTAGTTGTACTTTTTAATGATGATTGAATGAGAGTAATAAAATGTAACGACCCAAATCCACCGCTAGCAGATATTTTGTCCTCTTTGGGCTTTCCCTTTCGGGCTTCCCCTCGAGGCTTTAAAACGCGTCTGCAAGGGGAAGGTTTCCACACCCTTATAAATGGTGGTTTATAAATGGTGGCATAAAATCTGAGCTTAAATGTGCCTATGTGCCTAGACTATGTAGGTCAATTTTGCTCAATTTCAGAATGATTTCAATTCTGGACAATTCTTCTTTTACTTTTCTGGTTTGGATTTACTGGAGAGAGGTGTCCAAGCTCCACTAATTACCTGGGGGACAGTTGTTTTGGCACCTTTGAATATGCTATTTAGTTTTGGCCCCTTCTCCTTGGGCTTATGAATGTTCAATTGCAGTTGAAGTGCAAACACTGACAAATAGCTTAATTTCTACTTTCAGCATTTGCACCCATGCATGGCACACCAGCTTCTGTCTCACAGGATTCCCGAAGGCAACGAACGGATGCGCAGCCGCAAAGATACTTTTCCGAGAGCGACAGCGACTGACAAATAGACCAAAATTTATCTGCATCTATGTAAAGAAGAGGCCAGGAATGTTCTAACAAGTTCATCTGCAGTTGATAGTGTAGGTTGTCTTCTTCATCTCAAGCTGAAAACATCCCGAGTCATTTTGGTTGTTTCAATAGATTCAACTCGAGGTCTGCGGTTGGTTTCGATTGAACTGAACTTTTGTTACCTCTAGATTCAGATGATGTTAATGACTGAAAGATCTTGGAGATGGATAGGCTTTTTTGGCCTCCTTTCTAAGTCTCTGAAATAAGACTATAGACCAATTAAGGGAGCTTGGTGATGGATATATATATATATAATACACAGCTTTGGATCTTAGGCTTTTGTTACAATTGTATTCAATTTTGAGCTTCTTATTACTCTTGAATTCTACATGGACTGCTTGATGGGAGTTTTTTTGTTTGGTCCAATTACATGCAGGAATTGAGTGAGAAAAGAAGGCCCTCTAAGTTGTTTTACTAAGGTATTCTACTAATTTGCCCGAAAAATAATGATAAGGTCATTTAAAACTCCTTCTCTCACTTCTCTCACTTCACACCGTGGAATGTACCGTTCTTATTAGAGAGAGGCGATTTCACATCTTAACTCGAAATGGCAAATGGTTGGGGAGAGGAAAGGTTCCTTTTTGTAGGGTACCCCAGGAACAGGTTTAGTGGAGACGAGGTGAAACCTGTAGCTCAGAGGATTAGAACACGTGGCTATGAACCACGATGTTGGAGGTTCAAATCCCTCCTTGCCGACAACCGGCTAAAAAATGAAGCATTTTTCCTTATGGGGGTGTCAAGGTGAACATAGTTTAACGGTAAGTGACGTGCACTATTAACTTCAAACTTGAAGGTTATGATGTTATTTAAAGATCAAAACTATTATTTTTTTTATACATTTGGATTTTACGATATGATTGCCAATATTCTATTTACCCGTAAGTGTTGGTTTAGATGACATATATTGTTACACGGATATAAAATTTAAATATTTAGATGGAATTAAACAAAATAGAAATCAGAATTAAACAATTAAATATAACATCGTATTTAATTTTAATATAATATATTTATTAATGGATCATTTAGTTAAAGAAAAATATATTAATTAGCAAAGCCTTTTCATCCGTGGATAATTAATTAATACGCATGACCTATGTGGTAAAAACATGTGAGTTTTTATTTTTATTTATTTATTTATTTGAGTTCACAAATATTAGTTTATATTTTTCAATTTTCTATATTTATACTTTTTATAATAAAATTAATTAAGAATAAGAATAATAATAATATCAACAAAAAATACATTGCTAGAAAGGTGTGGCAAAGTTCGCTGTTCGAGCCAACCAGCGCCACAAACACGGCGGCGATGAAGGTGCTCCGCCTCTACTATTACAGTCTCCTCAAACCCTCCGCCACCGCCGCCTCACATCGTCATTTCGCCACCAAATACACCGCCAAAATCACTTCTTCTTCGCCCACCGGACGCTCCGTTTACGTCGAAGTCACTCCGCCAGCTCCTCTTCCCATCGACCCCCGCGGCTACTCTCTTCCTCGTCGAGATCTCATCTGCCGAGCCATTCAGATACTCCTCGATCGCAAACCCCATTCCTCTTCATCCACAGTTGATGATCGCTTCTCCGATTTATCCTCCTACTTTCAATCTCTCTCCGTCTCTCTAACACCTGCCGAAGCCTCTGAAATTCTCAGAGCCCTAAACCCCGATCTCGCTCTGCAATTCTTCCAGCTTTGCCCTTCCCTTTGCCCTAAGTTTCGACACGATGTCTTCACTTACAGCCGCATCCTTCTCATACTCTCCCATTCGTCTTCCCCGAAACGGTTCGATCAAGTTCGCGAGATTCTGTCGCAGATGGAAAGAGACCAAATACGTGGTACGATTTCTACCGTTAATATCTTGATTGGAATTTTTGGTCGCAAAGAGGACTTGGAATTATGTTTAGGTTTGATCAAGAAATGGGACTTGAGGCTCAATGCTTACACCTATCGGTGTCTGCTTCAAGCTCATGTAAGGTCCCATGATTCAGATGGGGCTTTCAATGTGTATATGGAAATGCGGAATCGAGGGTTTAAGTTGGATATCTTTGCCTACAACATGCTGCTGGATGCTCTGGCTAAGGATGAACAGGTTTGTTTTCATAATGCTGAAACCATTTTCAATGCTTGATTCTGTATGAAATAGTTGTTCATTTGTTTCTTCTATTCCAATTTCTTTGTTGTATTCTAACAGCTTGATCGAGCTTACAAAGTTTTTAAGGATATGAAATTGAAGCACTGTAATCCTGATGTGTATACATATACTATTATGATTAGAATGACTGGAAAAAGGGGTAGAACTGAAGAATCGTTGGCATTCTTTGAAGAAATGCTAAAAAATGGCTTTACTCCAAATTTGATTGTATATAATACAATGATTGAGGCACTTTCTAAGAGTAGAATGGTTGACAAGGCAATTCTTCTCTTTTCCAATATGATCAAGAACAATTGTAGGCCTAATGAGTTTACCTACAGTGTGATTTTGAATGTTTTGGTTGCTGAAGGACAGTGTGGTAGATTGGATGAAGTTCTGGAAATGTCCAATAAATTTATGAACAAATCGATATATGCATATCTCGTTAGGACTCTAAGCAAACTAGGCCATGCGAATGAAGCTCATCGTCTTTTTTGCAACATGTGGAGCTTTCATGATAGAGGAGATAGAGATGCTTATATTTCCATGTTGGAGAGCTTATGCAGTGCGGGTAAAACTGTAGAAGCTATCGATCTGCTCGGTAAGGTTCACGAGAAGGGAATTAGTTCCGATACTATGATGTATAACATGGTGTTATCTACTTTGGGGAAGTTAAAGCAAGTAAGTCATCTTCATGATCTTTATGAGAAGATGAAACAAGATGGGCCATTGCCCGATGTATTCACGTATAATATTCTTATATCGAGCTTTGGACGTGTTGGTAAAGTTGAGGAGGCTGTGCAAGTTTTTGAAGAACTTGAGAATAGTAGTTGTAAACCAGATATTATATCCTACAATTCTTTGATCAATTGCCTTGGGAAAAATGGGGATGTTGATGAAGCACACATGAGGTTTCTAGAGATGCGAGAGAAGGGACTGACTCCCGATGTTGTAACGTACAGCACGCTCATTGAATGTTTTGGGAAAACAGATAAAGTCGAGATGGCTCGCAGCTTGTTCGATAAAATGATAGCTCAAGGATGCTGTCCAAATATCGTAACGTACAACATACTACTTGACTGTCTTGAAAGAACAGGGAGAACTGCTGAAGCAGTTGATCTGTATGCAGAGCTTAAACAGCGGGGACTAACACCAGATTCGATTACATACGCTGTTCTTGACAGATTACAAAGTGGCTCGACTAAGAAATTTAGAGTCCGGAGGCAAAATCCGATCACCGGTTGGGTCGTTAGTCCTTTAAGGTAATTTTGCAAAACTTTTTGAAGGAAGAGAAGAAGTCTTATCTGTTCATCTGATATGCATCTCTCTTATGTCTTTTTTTACCATATTCTTACGACATGGTTGCCTGAGAAAACAATATTAGAGGTCTAGAGAAAAACCATCCTGTTTTCTGATTCTTGGGTAAAGGAAAACAGCCAAAGTTTATATCTTCAGATTTAACGATCGCCCTGCGGATATTCTACATTCCGAGCTCCTGTCACCCAGCGCAGTAATAGTACGGACTTAACACTCCCAAATCTGGAAATGCTAACCCCAGCGTATATGCACTGGATCGAGTTGTTTTTTCTATTGGTTTAATCCGTTGTAGTTTTTTCAGAGCTTGAAGTGGTCTGGCGATGAAAATATTGATGTTCATACGTTAAGCAGTGCGAAGAAGGATGAACGTCGTCGCCATGGCATGCATAATGTAAATGAAGCCTGACTCGACGAATCCTCCTGCTGCTGAACTTGAAATCCTGAGACAATAATATCTGGTCACAGAAATTTTGTAACAAGGAATCTAAAGGGGGCCGTTTCAACAGGTGGGAATTCTTCAAGTGAGTTCCTTTGAGTTTCTTCCAAGAAGTTCATGTTTTATTTGCCAAATTTATGATAGGTCATCAGTCTTGGCTACCATCGCCGATGGCAGCTAAAGGATCCTCTAGCATAGTCAACACTGCTCACTCAACCCGTGTTCGAGAGTTTCATCAAACCCTATTATCGATATGTACAACACATTCTTCAGTCATTATGGGTTAGTTTGAATCAACTTTCAAATGTTCGTATTTGTTTGAAAAAACAATATTATTTTTAATAAGATTCATAAGGTTTGAGTTCGAGTTCTACGTTGGTATGTGTTAAGAGGGGAGATCGACATGGTAGTTTACGTAGTAGATTTTGAGTTTTATGTTGGTAATGGCCACCAATCGAGAGTGTATGTGTTAATGTAACGAGTCGACTTGTAGGAATAGTTTTCACTCCTAGATGCAATTCAAGAAAAGTAGGTAACTGTGTGTTACGTGGATGTCGAGTACTAAAAAATAAATAAGAAAAAAGGGAAAATAAAAAGTGAAAAGCTTGGAGTATAATAGTGACATAACATAGGTGGTATACAAAGGAATATTCAAAGAAACACACCCAAATAGCCAAAAGATAATCCAAATTATAACCAAAGAGGGCTTCAAGGCATCATTTTCTTCTTTTTTTTCCCCTTTTCTTTTGCAAAATTGCAAAAAGCTCCCTCGACTTGTATGAATTGTTACCATCACACCCGGTTGAACAACAATCATTAGTCAACTTACGCTATACCAACATAGCTCAATGATCAAGACGTCTTTATCTCTGTTATAGGATTATACGTCCATAACTCGTTAACCGTTAATTTATTAGTTTAAGAGTACAATTGCAAAATTTTCTTAGTTTAGAAGTTTTTTTTTCAAGGATTCCCATCTAACTATAAAAAAAAAGATCGGGTTTAAAATCTTCTTACTCAACTTCTTACTCCAACTCTAATGAGATCAAAGAACGCTAATTGATACATTATATGTCGAAGAACAACATTACATAGTCTAAATGTTTTAATCATTTAGAACATATATAACAGCAAAAAAATGTCGAAGAACGGAGCATTTCTTATTGAACTTCACCTCGTATATTTCTGGATGAGTTATAGAAATCGTTAAGATTTTGATTAGTATCATAGAATCATAAGCTTCATTTGAAATTACCATTTTTTTTACCAAAGAAAAGTAAAAACCATTGGTAAAAAGGTTGGAGCAAAATGAAAAATTATTGAAATTTTGAAAGAACAAAATGATAATGATTCTTGTTTTTTTTTCTTTTTTTTTTTTACATTGGGTGGATTTTGATTTTATTTTTACAGCTTTACGTTTGTTTTTTACCTTAAAATTCTGAGCGGACAAAAGGGGAGAATATACTTACTGTGTGTAAGAAACCTAAAAGGAATAAGAGAAAGTGACAAATGAATAAAAGGAAAGAGACAAAGTGAATTTGGAATTCACTTGGAAATTTGCAACAAACATGTTTTTGAATCCAACAACATAACCCTAAAACAAAACAATAATTCTCTACTTTTCAATTCAAAATAAGCTACCCTATCATTTTCTAATGGTTTGAAGTTCTTCCGTTCATTTGCTCGGTCGAGCTGTTGTTTTAGAGGAAGATAGGCAAAAAATTACTCTAATACCCCCATCGGAGTCCAGCGTCCTTGTGATGTTCCACATTGGTTGGGGAGGAGAACAAACCACAATTTATAAGAACGTGGAAACCTTCTCCTAACAGACGCGTTTTAAAGCCTTGAGGGGAAGCCCGAAAGGGAAAGCCTAAAGAGGACAATAGCCTTCTCGCTCTTTCCCGAAGGGGGTAGACACAAGGTGGTGTGTCAGTAAGGACGCTGGCCCCAAAGGGGAGTGGATTTGGGGGCAGTCCCACATCGATTGGAGGAAAGAAAGAGTGTCAGCGAGGATGCTGGCCCTGAAGGGGGGTGGATTGTGATGTCTCACATTGGTTGGGGAGGGGAACAAACCACCATTTTTAAGGATGTGGAAACCTTCCCCTAGCAGACGCGTTTTAAAGCCTTCAGGGAAATCCCAAAGAGGACAATATTTGCTAGTAGTGAATCTAGGGCATTACAGTCCTTGTTGACACACTGCCTCTTATCCACCTCCTTTCGAGGCTCATCTTACTCGCTAGCACATCGCTCAGTGTCTGACTCTGGTACCATTTGCAATCGCCCAAACCCACCGTTAGGCGTTACAATCCTTGTTGGCACACTGCCTCTTATCCACCTTCTTTCGAGACTCATCTTCCTCGCTAGCACATCGCTCGGTGTCTCGACTCTGATACCATTTGTAACCGCCCAAACCCACCGTTAGCAGATATTTTTCTTATGGGGTTCTTCTCAAAATTTTTAAAAGCATCTATTAGAGAAAGGTTTCTACACCCTTATAAAAAAAATGTCTCTTTCTCGGATGTTTGTATATAGAGAGAGAAATTATTTAGAGTGAGAAAAGAAGAAGCACAAAGACATTCATTGATAGGTCATAGCATAGTAACCAATGGAAGAACCTTGTACAAATAGCTCTCCCCCTCTCTCCTCTAATTAAAAAACACACTCCCAAAATTAAAAATAAAAAAAAAAATCTATTTTTCTTCAAAATATATATATAAAACATAAAAACATCACATTAATCTAATAACCAAACATCCCAAAACATTATGTACGGTTTGTTTTTTTTTTCTTTTTTCAAATATACATTCCTCGTCACCGTTGACCATTTCGCTCTCTCTTCCTCGTCGTCTTCAAATCAAACACGTTGGCACGAAGCAGCTCGTTATGTAACTCAATCCTCTCTTCTGCAAAATTTCAAACCAATTCACATTATAACCTAGTTCCGAGAAAACCCGATCAACCAATATTAAAAAAAACTTATGGATGCGTCGGGTTGGGTCATTATTTAATACAACCCAAACCGATAACGTTGTGTCTAAAAAATATCTCAACCTGACCTAACCCAACCCATAAACACCTTTATTATTTATATCAACAAGTGTCCGAATGATAACGTTGAATCTAAAAAATGTCTCAACCTGATCCAACCTAACCCACAAACACCTTTATTATTTATATCTACGAGTGCCCGAACAATAACGTTGAGTCTAGAAAATGTCTCAACCAGACTTGACCTAACCCACGAACGCTTCTATTATTTATATCTACGAGTGCCCGAACAATAACGTTGAGTTTAGAAAATGTCTCAACCTAACCTGACCCAACCTAGGAACGCGTCTATTATTTATACGAGAAAAGACATTAAAGTGAAAAGACCTTTTTGGGCTTGGCGCAGGGATTGGGAGAGATTTTGTACAAGTCTTCGTCGACGGGTTTGGGCATTGGCTTTGGAGGGTGCAGTGTTACTTGAGGAGGGCTTTCGGTCCACTTTTGCTGCTTTTCTTGCTTCCCATGTCTGTCACGCTTTCTCTGCACATTCATCCGTCACCCCACTCACCATTTTATAATTCCACAATTAAAAATAACAATAATAATAATAATATTACATCACCACTTGTCACTTTACCATTAATTTTCTACAAAAATGTCTTTTTTTTTTTTGGTACTTTTTTCATTTTTTCTAAAAATTTCGTTAATGTTCACTGTTTTTTTTCCCCATTTCCCTCACCCGCCTGTCACTTTAGCATTAACTTTCCCTCACTTCCAAATGAAAATGCTTAACTTTTATTTTAAATCTACATTTTAAAAAACAAAAACTTTACTTTCTTTTTTTCAAATTTTGCTTAAAAATAAAAACTTAAAATTAAATTTTTAACAAAACTTAAAAATTTTATTTGAATAAATAAAAAAATTAAATAATTGAGTGAATAAAAATATATTATTTAAAATGTTTGGATATATATATATATATATATATATATTGAAATTACTATAATAATGAATATCTCAACAAAACCTTTTAAAAATAATAATAATAATAATTAGGGGGACAACTTTTCTTTAGGAATCAAGTAAAGTCACGTGGCGATCACGCAGTTAACTTTTTTTCTTTTTCTTTTTAATTTATAATAAGTGAAAGTGAAAAAATAAAAAGGCAAAGCATGCTTGAGGCTGGAAAAAAGCGTCCTCTAAACATGATTCACTCAACAAATAATAATAATAATAATAATAATAAATAAATAAATAATAGTAAATGAGTTAGTTAGTTACCCTGGGGCGCGGAACGACGATCATAGCGGGAGTAACGACGTCGTTTTGGTAGAGATCGCCGGCGACGTAGAGATCGCGAACATCGGGATATCCGGCGATTCTGGAAGCTTCGAAGCACTGCGTGAAAGGGAGATGGTCGTTCCATTCCCAGTTTCCGAAGGTAGGGATGAAGTTCCTCTGGTAGTCGTAATCCTGTGCAGCCAAAGCCATGGTAACGAGTCAAAAAAACAAGAAGAAAAAGTCAAACACGAAGACGAAGGGAAGTATACAAACCTCCATTGATGAAGAGAACAAGCTTTTTTTTTGCAGAGCTCAGAATTTTGGAAGAGAAGGTATCGTAATTGGGGGGGTTTATAGAGAGAAAGAAGCTCTGGCCCTTTTTTTTTAAGGGATCCAAAGTGGGTGTAAAAAGAAAATTATAAAAAAAAAAAAAAAAAAAAAAAAAAAAAAAAAAAAAAAAAAAAAAAAAAAAAAAAAAAAAAAAAAAAAAAAAAAAAAAAAAAAAAAAAAAAAAAAAAAAAAAAAAAAAAAAAAAAAAAAAAAAAAAAAAAAAAAAAAAAAAAA